TCCAGAGCAGGCCTGCCATCAGTTCACACCCTGCTGATGAAAGCCCAGACACGCTGAGCAGGTCATGTTGCAAGGATGCCAGAACACCGCATCCCCAAACAGCTCTTCTATGGTGAGCTGTCTCAAAGAAAGTGATCGCATGGGGGACAAAAGAAGCGATACAAAGTCACACTGAAAGCCTCTCTCAAGTCCCTGGTTATTGACACCACCTGCTGGGAGACCCTGGCACAAGACTGATTGACATGGCGCATGCTGATCCACCAAGGCTGCCAAACTTATAAAGCCAGAAGGACAACCATAGCACAAGAGAAGCAAGCACTCCGTAAAGCCGGAGTTGCAAATGTTACAACAGTGTGCCCACACATGTCTGCCTGACATGTGGCAGAACACTCCGTGTCCGTACCGGCCTTACCAGCTGCTTGTGGACACATCGTGGACAGCTCACAACCCATTAGATCTCAAGGTCCTCATCGAAAGCAATGGATGAACATTATCATCAGCTGTAAGCCAGAGCAGACAAGCCATTCTGTCGAATACACAATCACCTCTACAATGTTGCTGCATAGTCCCTGCAGGAATTCACGGTTTACCAAGAAGTATTTAGTTAGCTGGACAGGAAGGCCTGGAGGAATGTTGTCCATGAGGTCACAATGGGTCAGAGGGGCGTGGGACTGGAGGGGCGGAGTGCTGGGTGGCGGCACCAGGAGACTCGTGGCTGGGGGAGCTCAAGGTGGGAATTGGGCGGGCACTCCCCCAGCCAGGAAGAGCGGAAAAGGCAGCAGCTTGTCTTGGCATAGAAAGGCACTGGGGAGTTTGGGTCCGGTGGAGATGAGGGAGGCTGGGCACAGGAGAGGGAGAGGAAGCTGAAATTGGAGGCGGTAGATGTCAGTTGTTCAGATGCTGGCCCTGCTCAGGAAAGGGTTCAGTGTAGTGGAGAGGTCTTGGGGCAGTCAAAGCACCCCACTTAACTTGGAGGGGCCCTGAAGACAGTCACTGACCCTCCCCCACTGCCTCTCAAAAGACGTTATTTTGCTTGTTTGTTGCTGGCAGCTGCCACCTGTCACAGTCCTGACTTGAACAGGGGTGTCATTTCGAGAGTTTCCAACAGTTCCCTGTGAGTTCCGTACTAGAGAGGCCTGCTGGGCATGCACCTGTGTGTTGTGTGGCACTTCTCTGCACAACCACATGGGCTCGGGTTGCCTTTGCTGCTCTAAAGACCAGCTTGCATCCCCCTGCATTCACACCTATTTGGGACACATTTATTCCCCCTTCAAACAGTCTTTCCTTCCCCAGAGAATCTCAGGAACCATCGTTTGTGGGGGTACTGAGTGTCATCAGAGGACTCCTCTTTGTCCCATGGAGAGGGACAATTTCCAGGGATCCTGGGGAAGAGTGACTGACTTGTCCATCGTTCTGAGAACTGTAGCTCTGGCAGGCAAACCTGAGTTTTCAAGCAATGCTTAGCCCCAGAATTATTTAGGAGAAAGAATGGCTAAAGTGGAAGTAAAGTCTCGTAACTGGAGTACATTCCCTGGATTTAATGGTGAAAATTAGCCATGCCTTCTGCTGGGCTTAAGTTTCTCCTTCTGTTAGGCTAATGTATGCATGAAGCATCCAGTGAGAGCAGATTAAAAGATGACTGGAAATTGTCAGAAACTGGACTCTGGACCCATGAAGGATCTCCCACACAAACATGGGCATGCAGAGAAGGCCACAGAAATTAAAAGAAACCAGAGAATGTTTCAGAGAGTAAGTCTCTGGGTAGGAACTGCCTTATTAATTCCACAGAAGCCATGCTGGGAGCAGAGCAGGGTAGAAACAGAATAAAGAATTCATTCTTTCCTAATGAATAAGATAAAAAGATGTAACTTCTGCAAGCTTTCATCTCTTCACCCTGAAAAAATGATAAATCTCATCTCCCATTCGTTATCCTCAGAAATTCAAACAAGGGTGCCTCTAATGGAGCCTGGCCCTCTGCTGTGGATCTGACTCTCATGAAGGTACCCCTAGTGATATATTTGCCCCTAAACCAGATTTCTGGGCCTCTTTCCCTTATTGGGCCCCATTCTAGAATCTTCCGGATCCCCCTTTTGGTAGCGGGCGCACAGAAACGATGCCACGCCTGATTTTGGGGCTCACTTGTCGGAGGTGGATGCGCTCCTTGCTTTATTCTAATCAAGGAGACTCCCGTGCTCAACTGGGGAAATGCGGCGCATCCAGGAGCGATTCGGGATCCGGCTTTTCCAGCCCTCTTGAGGAAAGCAGTTCCGGAGTGGGCGGGCAGCAGGGGGCTCGCTTGGCTTCCCTGGAGGCCCTGCGCACGCGTTCCGGCAGCAAGACTGGCTTGGAGAAACCCGCGGCGTGGCGAGAAGGTGAGCTCGTGGGGGTGGTGGGAAAGGAAGGAGAAGGGAGAGCGCCAGTGGTTTGCAATGGACGATCTTCCCTTCTCGGGAGCACTCCCCGGAGAGGACTTGAGTCCCGGCATGTTCTGGAGCAGCTGTGTGGGGAGTGGGTCTTGCATGGGGCAGGAGGGGGGATCTTGCTCCTCAGGTCGTGGGGCGGAATGGGCGCGGAGTGCGGGCGTGGAGCTGCAGAGAGCCCGGCTGCACTTCCCTTGCCTTGAACAGCCGCATCTCCCTCCGTCCTGCCGCCGCGCAAGATGGGGTCGGGCTGGGGGACGAGGAGGGAATCCGTGCAGGCGCTCCTGGGCCTCCCCAGGTGGGGCTCGAGGCGGCGCCGAGAGGTCCCGAGGGGTCCTTCCAGAAGCGTCCGGGCGCCTACGCAGGGAAGGGGCAACCCTGACCGCGGAGGGGTTCGTATTCCCCCCTTCGTGGGCCACCCTGGACCACGTGGTCCTCCCAATATGGGACCGGCATTAACTCCTGTGGGGGCGGCCCCAAAGGAGCCCGTGTGTGCCAGAGGGATCCCTCCTCGGAGCCTAGGCCAGGAGTGAGGCCAGCCGCGGCTCGGTTGCAAGGCCTCCCTTTCGGTGCTGGGTGCGATTCCAGGCATCGCCGTCGCGGTGGAAGTTTTCTTCCCTAACTGTCGGGTCCTGGAAAGCTTTCCGCGCCACCTTGTGGCCGCAGCGCCTGAGTACAAATGGGGCGGCCTCCTAGCTTCCTGCTTTGCCAGCCGGGCTCCCTCGCCGAGCTGTTACATAGAAACAGAGAAACAGAGCGAGTCAGAAGGGGTCTCCCGGGCCATCTAGTCTGACCTCCGGCACCAGCCAGCTCCGCTCATGGCATGCCCACCATGTGGACGTCCAGGCTATCCTTGAACACGCGCACCAATGGGGCCTCAACGACCTCTCGTGGAAGCCCATTCCACACCCTCAGGGTCCTGACTGTCAGGAAGTGCTTCCTGGCATCCAAATGGAACCTTGGCTCCCTGAGCTTTGCTCCATTGGAGCGTGTCCTGCCTTCCTCTGCAGGGGAGAACAGGTCTCTACCCAGAGACTTCATCTTCCCCCAGAGACTTCCTGTTATGGAGGTGAAGCGGGGCAGGCATGTGTGCTCCTCTAAAAGCCTGGCAGGGGTATTGAGTGGGAACAGCCAGGTGTGCAAGTATTCAGCTTCGTTTCTACACCGGACAGAGGGTGGCAAAACTCTTGTCTTTCTCTTTTGCTTTCCCTTATGATTTACTCTCAGTAGAACACACACGAGCTTTATTTCTACATCCTTTTGAGGAGATGGTGGAATGCTTGGTGAAATGTCCATAAATCCACACCGAAATCCCCATTCCATACAGGCAGCGAACTAGAGGAAGTTGCATTTAGGCAATTCCCCAGTGGAATCAGCTGCCCAGCCTCACGTTTTCATTTTACCACTGTCCCCAAGCTGGTGCTTTGCAGGAGAGGAAGATTCAAGAGCATCGGTTGGCCTTTTCAGTAAAATAATGGAGCATTAGGCGGGGAGAGCAACCTTCAAATAGCAAAGGGAATTGAAGAAGCGTGACACTGACCAGGTAAAGCTAAAGGGAAAAACAAAGAGCAAGTGGTGTTCAAGCAGTGTTCACCAAGCTGTGGTCCATCACCTTAATTGTGTGTCTGTGCACGTGTGTTTTTGTATGCTATCCCAATTTGTTTCTCTTAGGTGTTGCATAAGATAGATGGAACCTGCTTCCTCTGAGGTTCCTTGATCTGAACATTTACTGTGCATGCAGCACCCTTGAAAATTAGTTTTCCTTTCTCACTGCCAAGCTACCTAGGGAGAATAGGGCTCACTTAAATGTTAGTGTATGTGATGACTTGTGTTTAAATGCAATCTGCAAGAAAGCTGCTTTTTGGAGTGGCATTGAAAAAGAAAAAGGGATTATGTTGGAGGTGCTGAAATGCAAATGCCACGTTTGCCTTGTACTCAAATGAGTTCATTACTTTCAGCCATTATCTCCTAACCAAGTTCTCATTGGGTCTTTCTTCCTGAGCAGGTGAATGGCAAGACAATAGAAATGAAGCAGTTCTATGTGTCCTCTCATCAGAAACAAGTGAGCACAAAGTGAGAAAATATATAGTTCCAAATCCAAACAGGATTAAAAGAGAAAAGTGAAACCAAGTGAGGAACATGAGAAAACAATCCTAAATTTCTGATGGTACTGGAGGTCATAACCCTTAATTCCAGAAGGCTGCACAAAAAGGAGCTGGGGAAGGGATCTAGAGTGTGATAATTCACCAAAAGACAGTTGAAACAAATACACAAAGTGTAGAAAACACAGAGACCAAATGAAATGTGCAGAATATTATAGAAGCATCCATGTAGGCATGATTTCAATCTAAAAAGATAGCACGAGCCTTAGTGAGCCTGAGGGATCCCAGACTTTCAGGAAGCCATATTGAATTATGGAAACTAGGCAGAACTTCAGTGCCAGTGGAAGTTCTTTTAAAGATGGACAAATCCACACTGGAGAGGAGCCTGATAAATTCAAGCAATGTGCTACAAGTTGCATTGATCCTGGAAATCCTGCTAGACATCAAAGAATGCATCCAGGGAACACACAAAATAAAGGCATTGACTGTGGAAAGAGCTGCAGTGCCAGTGGGAATCTTACTCTGTATCAAAGAGCCCAAACAGGAGAGAGGCCATATGGATGCATGGAATGTGGGAAGACCTTCAGCCACAGCAACTCTCTTAAGAAACATCAACGAACACACACTGGGGAGAAGCCATACAAATGTATGCAGTGTGGTAAGAGCTTCTACCGGAGTGATCATCTCATGAACCATCAAAGAACTCACACTGGAGAGAAACCTTACAGATGCATGGAATGTGGAAAGAGCTTCAGGCTGAGTCAACATCTGAAAAAACATCAAAGAATCCACAGTGGGGAGAGGCCATATAAATGTATGCAATGTGGTAAGAGCTACCAGAGCAATAATCTCATGAACCATCAAAGAACACATACTGGTGAGAAGCCTTTTAAATGCATACAATGTGGAAAAAGCTTCAGTTTAAGGGGAAGTCTTACAAATCATCAAATGATCCACACTGGGGAGAGGCCATATAGATGCATGGGATGTGGAAAGAGCTTTACTGAAAGAGGAAGTCTTAGAAAACATCAAAGAACGTACACTGGGGAGAGGCCATATAGATGCATGGAATGTGGAAAGAGCTTCACTGAAGGTGGAAATCTTCGAAAGCATGAAAGAACCCACACTGGAGAGAGGCCATATACATGCATGGAATGTGGAAAGAGTTTCACTGCCAGTAGAAATCTTAATATGCATCAAAGAACCCACACTGGGGAGAAGCCATATAGATGCATGGAATGTGGAAAGAGCTTCAGTCAAAGTGGAAATCTTTATGCACATCAAAGAATCCACACTGGAGAAAAGCCATATAAATGCATGAAATGTGGAAAGAGCTTCAGTGAAAATGGAAGTCTCCGAAAGCATGAAAGAACCCACACCAGGGAAAAACCATATAACTGCATGGAATGTGGAAAGACCTTTGCTGAAAGTGGAAGTTGTGCTAGACATGAAAGAACCCACACTGGGAAAAAGCCATATAAATGCCTGGAATGTGGAAAGAGCTTCACTGCCAGTGGAAGTCTTACTATACATCGGAGAATGCACACTGGCAAAAAGCCATACAAATGCATGCAATGTGTCAAGAGTTTCGGCCGGAGTCAACTTCTTACAAAACATCAAAGGACCCACACTGGAGAGAGGCCATATAGATGCATAGTATGTAAAAAGAGCTTCATTGAACGTGGAGGTCTTCTGAAACATCAAAGAGTACACACTGGGGAGAGGCCCTATGCATGCATGGAATGTGGAAAGAGCTTCAGCCAGAGCAATCATCTTACAAACCATCAAAGAACCCACACCGGGGAGAAGCCATATAAATGCATTGAATGTGGAAAGAGCTTCAGTCAGAGTCAACATCTTATGAAACATCAAAAAACACACACTGAAAAGAGGCCATAGAAATGTTTGCCATGTGGAAAAAGATTCTACCAAAGTGCTAACCTCATGGACTATCAAAGAACACATACTGGCAAGAAGCCATTTCAATACATGTGGTTTGAAAAAGTTTCAGTTTTAGTGGAAGTCTTACAAGCCATCAAAGAATGCACACCAGGGAGAGGCCTGATCGATGCATGGAATTTGGCAAGAGGTTCTGCCAGAGTCAACATCTTATGAATCATCAAAGAGCGCACACTGGGTTAAGGCCATAGAGAGGCATAGAATGTGGAATGAGATTCAGAACAGAATCTTCATCTTAGTGTACATAGATATACTCATGGGAGAGAAAGCATTTAAATGCATGAAATGTATTCAGGCAAAGTGGTAGTCTTGCAAACCGTGATACTGCTGATTCCTGAGTACAGGCACAAATGTGGAAAGCGCTTCAGTGATAGAGAAAGGTGGTTTGAATATTGAATTATCCACACTGGAGAGATCTTGGTGAAAAGCATAGAATATGGAATATGTCAGGTGTGGATAGTACTCCTCTGTCTGGGGAGACTGGGGCCCAGTTCTTTTCAAAATTTTTATCAGTGACTTAGAGAACGAGGTGCATGGAATGCTTGTCAAACTTGCAGCTGCCACAAAATGGGTGGAACAGCTAATACCCTCATAGCATGTGCTGATTGCTCTTAGCTGCAAGTCTCTGGTAGTTTGAAAGGGAAAACACATACAGTAAATAAGCAAACCCATTTCAAATAAAAATGTCATAAAACATTGTGTGTTGGGCCTGGACTAGGCCTTGTTTAAGTAAAATTGCCGCCCTAGAGTTACGTTGCTTAGCTCACTAGGTGTTGTTTTCCAAAGACCCTGGGAGATTGCCTAAGAACATACACACAGCTTTGAGAGATTACATCTTATCAGTAGCTACTATTGGCCTATGCCTTGTTATATGCTTAGTTTACTCAAGTTATGCTAGTGTATGTGCTGGGAATCTTGACTGACACAGATGAGAAGTTTCAGGAGTTGGCTTGTGGCCAGATAATGAGGATGGAATCTTCATATGCTACAAATTGCTGTGATGGGAAGCTGCATTATGTGTAAATGTTGGCTTACTAATGAAGTAAACAAGTACTTCCACACTGCTTAGCCACTGCTCCTGGGTAACACCACCCCCTCTTCAATGAGCAGTCTATTTAAGATGCTCATTTTCTTTTATGTCCTGTTCAGATACCAAACTTCCTCGAGGGGGATTCACTGAATGTCTGTTCCAGCTTACTGGACCTTGCCAGGCTCCTTTAAGTAAAAGCTTTGATATTTTTACTTTTTCCCTTTCTGTAGTCCAATCAGGTAAATTGTTGCAGGTGAAGTGCTCCACAGGCCAGCCGTGTGATGCAGCTGCAAAAAGAGCAAATGCTATTTTGGGATGCATTAGTAGAAGTATTACTTTCAAATCACCAGAAGTAATGGTTTCCCTATACTCTTCACTATTGTAGAATACTGTGTCCCATTCTGGGCACCTGATTTAAGAAAGGTGCAAAAAAACTTGAAAGTGTTCAGAGGAGGAGAACTGGAAAAAAACCCCTCTGAGGAAAGACACCGAGAACTAGGCATATTTAGCCTTGAGAAGACTTAGGGGAGATATGATAGCGCTCTACATGTGCCTGAAAGGCTGCCACAAAGAGGAAGGTCAAGATCTCTTCTTGCTGGTACCAGAGTAAAGGACATGGAATACTAAAGTTGCAACAACCCAGATTCAGGCTAGAGATCAGGAAAAGTTTCCTCGCTGTCAAAGCAATACAGCAGTGGAACCAATTGCTTGGAGAGGTGGTGGGCTCTCCACACTAGAGACATTCAAGGCAAAGCTGGCAGTCATCTGAGTGGGATGGTGTAAACTGGTGTCTTGCAACAGTAGGCAGTTCACACAGTGACCTTCTTGGCCCCATTCCAACTCTGCTCTTCTGTGATTCTATGATCTCTTTGTGTGTGTGATCAAGTACCCAGTGCGCTTGGGGTCTCCTGCTTAGGTTTAGTACTATGTCAACATGACACCCCAAGTCAAGAGCCAATCAACTGGTAGGGCGGCAAATGCCATCTAATGGGTTCTGCTTTTTGAGGTAAACATGCTCAGGGATTATTTCTTGGTATACATGTGTATAAAAGAGGGCTGTTTCCATTGTCCTGGGAACCTCTCAACTTTTATTTGCTGAGATCCCCTTTCTTCTGGAATAAAATTTGCTCCTGTTGTTTACTAAGAAGGAACTTCTGTTCTTATTGAGACCGGCACACCAGAAATGAACCACTGCTTTTTCCAACAATATGAGAAAACCGTTCTCAGTAGAGGAATGACGGTCATTTTCTGTCATTTTCAGTGTAGTTCTGCAACATCACCATCAACTACACAAAAGACACTTTCTGGGAGATCCTCTATGCCCCATGTTGTGGGATGAGCTGAGCTTGTGGGACGGGCTCATTTACCACCCACATGAAACCAGAGTTTTTGTCTGGTGCAAAACATAAGAGAGTGAAAATGAAAGCAGTTGTGAAATGAACCTGAGGAAGAGGTAAGAGGTGGCATAAAGCATCCAGCTTGGGGGAAATTGTCCCTCAGTGTGAGCGGTAACAGGATTGCCCAGGACTACTTTAGGGCATAGTACCTCCTTGGACCACCTTCTCATGCAGGCACCAGGACTCCTCGGCTGTGCCTGTCTAGCTGGGCCAGTGCAAGAAACAGGTGGCATTTCAGAGAGAGCCACTTTGGAAGTTCTGAGTTCCAAACTCCCTGCACAGTATTTGCAACTTCCACACTGGGGAGGCCATGCATCATAAAGCTGACATTTGGTCCATTGTAGTCATCACTACTATTGAGGTCTATCCTGCTTGTTTCCACCAACATGGAACACAAGGTGACTTACTTGGCCTTCCTCCACCCCAGTTTATCTCCACAACCACCCTGCCAAACACATTCAGCTGAGGGTGAGTGACTGTCCCCAAATTGCCAGATGAGCTTTGTGGGTGAGGAGGGGACTAGATGCCAGATCCCCCAGGCCCCCAGTCCAGCCTTCTTCCCACCACAGCATCCCATGGGTAGACACTGAAGTTTTATGTACCTAATTCTGCCGGTCAGGTAGGGTGAATGTTACACATTTAGCTACATGTGTAATCAAATTAACAGGTGATGCACTGGATCTGATGGGTGGACACACATGGACCCATTACATGCATCCAGGTGAGCAAACATGGTAGCAGCACTGGAAAATATTGAAGGAGAGAAGTTGCCAGCACCAGCTCGCATGCACCGGAAAGGCATTAGAAGAGGACATTTGCTCTGACATGGATTTTGAAAGGGACCAGTCCCACTCTCATCCTGCTTTGGTTGCACCACCTGTGTGCTATTGTAAATGAATTACAACCCACCATCTCCAAGGATTCACTGTGGGCAGCCCTGGGTTCCTATTCTGCCTTCTGAAGATGTCAGTCACATCAGTTAGGGATTTGCTGAGGTCAACCTCTTGCTGTGCTCCAAAGAAAAGAGGAGAAATCTCAACAGCAAGAGTTATCTTCTGGCTGCATTTCCTTCCTCAAGAAGGTCCCCTGCCAGCCGAGTAGGCAACACTTAGGAAGAAATTGGAAGGTGCTGCAACAGATGGTCCTTCAAGGTGAACTGCAGAGCACCCATCTTAAAGGAATCCTTGACCCCAGTCCACAGAGCAGCACCCTGGAGTTCCCACACACGCTTCTCTCCAGCTGTGCACCTTCCCGTGGAATTGAATAGCGAGTTTGGAAAGTTTTGGAGGCATTCCCTGGAGCTCAGGCTGGATAACAGTGGGGATAGTGTTCAGCCTCCTGCAGATGGCAATCGTACTGGTTGGAGATGCTCTGAGTTGAACCTCCAGGGGATTTGGGTGAGCTCCCCAAAATGGAAGGAACAAATTCAAGGGTAACAGTTTGTCCTGGGCCACTTTCCCTTCCTAAAGAGGTGCCATGCTGGGGAAAAGTTAGCAAGCGTGTGAAACAGAAAGTCACCCCTTCCAGGCTCATTGTATTGCACACATCCATCGATCCTGGTTCCCTCGAAGGAGCAGCATCAGGGAATTCCCAAGAGCTTGTGTCTCCAGCTGCGTCCCTGCACACGGCACTGAGCAAAACATTCAGGAAATTGCAGAGCTGTTCCAGTCTCTGTTCCCTATAATTCTAAGCAAGAAAGCATTTTATTGCTGTTCCTGCTCTGCCTCTTGGGATCTTCCCTGAGTCTACGGATGGAAAAATCTGATTCAAGAGCAAGGCGAGTTGCTGACACATATCCAGAGGCCAAAAAGAAGGTGCATCCATGTCTCCTCTGCCACTGAGCGCTTGAGGGAAGTTTTAGTGCATGGAGCAACCTCTCATTCCCTCTGGATGCAAAGTCATGGCTGCCCAGGCTCCATCTAGACTTAGAAAGCTACTGGATCTGGTGCTTGCAGGGGAGATCTTGGTTCTTCTAATCCTTTCTCGAATTAACCACAAAAGCCAGTTGGAGGTTGTGACTGGCAGACCAACAGCCACGCCACTCTTCCTGCTGCTGCTGCTTCACCCCGAGGCCTCCCAGGGGATGCCCAAGGCCAGGTGCCCCTGGAGCTGGGAAAGGGGTGAAACTCACCCTCTAAATTACTACAGGCCAGGCGACTATGTCATCAGTGCGGGCATCTCTGCAGAGTGCGTTCATTTGCTGCCGCACACTTTCGACAAGCCTGCCTCAAATCAACAGCTTCGGTAAGTCATTGTGTGGATTCACATGAAGCAGCCAGGCCTGCTGGGTTGTTTGCCATGTGAATGCAGCATGTGTTCATCTGGGGTCTTTCCTCCTAAAGCAGTCGGGTTGAGAAGGCAGCTCAGCAATGCACTGGGTCAGAATCCAGGACAACTGGTGGGCCCCAGGTTGGAGAGGGTTGCTGTTGAGCATCCCCCAAGAATCAAGCTTTCTCCATTGTCCTCTCATGAGTTTTCCTTTCATTTGGTGTGCAAAGCTGTACTGAATCCCA